AATCGGTTCTCTGAACTGCTTAGAAAGTTACCAACCGGTTCTCCCGAATAGGTGCGAACTGGCTGAATCCCACCACTGATGCAGACAACAGAAATCAAACAAACCATCTTGTATGATTTTCATGGTTTTAGGCTGCTGGCCACTTCATGTAACACCAAACCATTAAAAGTTGAACTACAACTAAATTCATCTTGAATACTTTTTTTTTTTTAAGTGTCTCATCAAACCTGCAAGTTAAATTGCTTTGCCATCTTATGGACAGTTGAGGCAGCTCCTTCAAGGCAATATAGCAGAAGGCCTTTGAATTTTCTTGCCCCAGGACATCTGTAGCTATACTTTTCATTAAAGATAGTGTATACTGTAACTGCTGGATACTTTTCAGAGGCTTATGCAAAACTGTAGACTTCTCTAGTGACATGAAACTTAATAGCTAACTGTGGAAGCAGAACTCTGTAAAAAAAAAATTCCTGAGCAGGGCAAGGCAGAATGTCTTTTTTTCTTTTTCTTTTGCCTGTCTGCTGGTAAAAACCATTTTTAATTGCCTAAAGTAACGGTGTCAACTTCCAGGGGGTTGCTAAAATCTACACAGAACTGCAAGGGTCATGTTTTAACCAAGACCTCCACAAAAGGGTGTCAATTTAGCTCGCAGGGGAGGGATCGTCCTAAGCTTTGCCCTGTGTATCAAGTTCGAGTTGAACCTCACTTAACTCTGCAGCATTCCCTGTTTCACCCTTTGGACTTTCCAGGACCAAAGCAAGGAAACTCTTTCTCCCTCCACCACCTTCCTTAACCTTATTCACTCACCTGGCCAAATTCAATTCTCCTTTTAGAGATATTTGAGCAACTTAGAGCTACTAATTTAACCCAAAACAAGCATCTGGGTGATTCCCTTGGGAAATAAAGTCTAATTTATGTATCCTCCCCTTTCACAGGTATGAATATGGACTTTTATGACAAGGAGCACCCCTCTTCTACTTCTACTTCTGAGAGCTTGCTCTCCCTCCCCCTTCTTTATCTTTTTTCTTCTTCCACTTTCCCTTAAGGCAGTGTTTTTCAACCTTTGTGCCGCGGCACACTAGTGTGCCG